TTCTGAGCCGGGTTTTTTTGCCCCCCCTTTTTGGTTTAATTTTTTTTTGCATTTTCCGAGGACTGGTTCTTTGGGAGATTTGCATGTGAGGCTGGATGCTTCCACGAGGCCAAACTGTCAACACATTGAGCTTTAATCAGGAGGTGGCAAAGAGTGAGATTTTCAAAGATGATCACAAATCAATTTGAAAACAATGGAATAATTAGAAAGTAATGCCAAACCAGAGAAAAAAGAGGATAAATCTCAGCAACATTTAATGAATTTATAGGTTAAATCAAAACAAATGTTTTCTGAAATGTATCGATATTCTAATAATAAAATATATTATTTATTCTCCCCTAATATTATTATATTAATATTACCAACATTTAAGGGCTATAAAAGTCCCACAGACGACACTTTCTGACCCCCCCGAGTCACCAGAGGGTTAAACAGTAAAGGAGGAATCAAAAAGCCAGCAGAACAACAAAAGCCATCACAATTTGTCTTGATGGTCCGAACAAAAAAAAAAATAAAAAAAAAAACGGCCCAAAGCGCTACCACCAAGGATGCTGCTCCCTGCCTTCCTTTCTTATCCCATTTTCCTTTTTTTTGCACTTTTTCTGTGCCATAAACCATTTAAACATTTTCAACTTGTTAGCAATTAATTAAATAGATCGGCCGCTGGCCAAAACAGCGCCGACTGTCATTTTTCATGCCGTCTCTTTCGCTCGCCGGTCAGACCCCGTCTCTTTCGCACCTTTCAGCCGCCCGTTAATTACGGCGACAGCATTCAATTTTTATGGATGACACACGCCCCATTTGCATGCCCTTCTGCTACTTCTCCCAAAGTCTGGCAACGCTGCGGCACGCTTCAAAAAGCTAAAAGACCGCCAAAGGTTCAGTTTACCAAAAGGCAAAGCGGCAACGGCAACCCTTCGTCCGTCTCTTTCGCACACACACTCGCCCCGTCTCTTTCGCACCATTTGGAAATTTATTTCGCTGTTTTTGCAATTTAAGGTAATTATTATGTACCTTTGGGGTAATTTTAACACCTCGACACCATCGACAAATATCATCTGGAGAGCGGGGTCTTTACGCGTGCACAAGGAAAAGGGATATATATATGTATATATATATAGTAGCGGCTATCAGGCCACCGAAATCTCGGCAACAACAACGACAAACGTTTCTTAGAAGCGCAGAGCTTTCAACACCTTCGATGCGTGCCCAACAACCGAAGGAGCACATCCTATCCTCCACCTCCAGCCCCTCATCATCATCCCGATCTTCTGCTGATCACCTTAACCCTCCCCGAACCCCTTCTTAACCCTACACGTACGCACTACTCTCTTGGCCAGTTATTTTTCACACCTCGACAACATTTTTTCGCACTTGGTGCGGCATATTCGGTTACCACAACAATCAAGCATTGCCGCCACCGCCACGATATCGAAATACACTGGGGAAAAAAGGGATGATGGTACTACTAGGTACTACAATTATAATCACTAGTAGTAGTAGAGGTTTAATTTTAGGTTTTACGTCTGGAATATTTTGGAAATAATTTTTGGCTATCCCATAAATTGTTGTTTCACCATTTGGGGTCCGAAGAATTCGCGTCATTTGTGTTATTCACTATGAAAAAATCATTACAATAGTTACTAGAAACTAGAGTACTATTTTTATACTCAATCTGAAAAAAGCTGAAGAATTCGCGACATTAAAATGTAGAATACTAGCAATATTGCTTTGGTCTAGTTTTTTAAAGTTTCCAGATTGTAGCCCCATTTTTTAGCCCAGTGTACGTCTTCCATCTGGGAAGGTCCGATTCCGACTGCCGTTTTTAATAACCGAAGCTTCTGCCGCTTTTGCTGCTGATTTAGCTGGCTGTTATCTCACTCAGTTCATCGGATGCGCGGTTCGACTTTGACTTTGACTTTGGCTACGGAGGATTCGGTTTGGTTTTGGGGGCTTGAGTTTCTCGGCTTTTGGCCTTTGGGGGCAGCAGCAGCAGTCCGTAGTCCGTATCCTGTGTGCCTGTCAGCACATTTGGCGTCGCAATTATCGCAAGTAGCGTGCGTGTAAATTACCGTTATTAGGTGTGATCGTGCGAAAGGCACTTCAGTTCGGTTAAAAAGAGCATCTTTCGGATTCATCTTTAACTTTAACTGCATATCGTCAGCGGTTTCACTTCGCTTTCATTTCACCTCCTGATCGAAACGAAAATTAAGTCTCTTCGGCAATCTCTCTCACCTGTAAAAGTGACAATTTCCGCTTTTCGATCCCCTGGCAGCTGATATATAGGAACACCCATAAAAAGTCAAATTAATGTGATGACAATAGATTGGGATCTCTGACAGATTTCACGCTTACGATATGAACGCCACGCCAAGTAGCCCACCGCCGATCCAGTCCATCACGTTTTACACTTGTCCAGGTCGTACGTGAGTGGAATCAGTGTTATATCCCATATTCCCTTTCCGATTTCCCGGGTTCAGAGGTCGTGCGCGTTTTCCTCGCTTCGGTAGCTGGTGTTTTGAATTCCAATTAGTGTTAATGAACAGCGAGCACATAAAATATATAATTAATTGTGTCAACGGGCGATAAGATTTTCGGTGTTTTTTTTTTCAAGGATGCTTCCGTCGGGAGTCATATTCTGGGAATTTCAAGGATTTTATAAATGAATGGGGTAAAAAAAATAAAGAACAATGACCAAATCTGCTGTAAATATAGGAAAGTCTTGTTTATGATCTTAATTACAATTATTCTTAATAAATTAATTTTTAAAAAATTATTTACAGATTGGTTTTTCTACAGCGACCCCTAGAGAAAATCCTACTAAAAACATCCCCTATACATTTTCCTTTCTTCTGCCAATTAGAATTTTCCACATCGTCTAAGCAGAACCATGTAACAAAATTTTACGAGCAACAGATGTCGCTGCAGTGCAACCAATTGGAAAATTGAAACCATATAGATGGCGCCACTCTGGGAATGCACCTGACAACCCTGGCCAGCTGTTGATCCCTTGATAGAATCCTTTGCAACCCCCGGAAAGGCAACAACAAAAAGGATCAACACTTTCCTCATCTCATGCGGTTTAATTAATCATCGAGCGTTTTTGGGGTATAAAATCCGCGGCTAATTAAATTGCTACCAAAACATTTTTTCTTTTTCGTTCGGTGGGTGTGTTTGGAGCAAATTAAAGAAGGGTTTTCGAAAAGGGTTGGTTTCGAATCAAGGGAAAACGAAGATTGTGGAGGCGTACAGGTGATGACGCAAACGATTTTCATTCAGGATATTAGAAATGCATTAGGAATGGATATATTTCGGTGGCAGCTTTTAAAAACCAATTAAAATGTAAACGGTGGAGTTTTGTTTTCCTTTTTTTTTTTATTTGGATTTTCAGCGCTCTTTTTTTTGTGGGATCTTTTTCGAATCCACCTTCTATTTTCTGATCTCTTTCTGGACAGCTGCTTTCGGCGGGATCCTTTGGGTTAATCAAGGTTTTATGCATTTATGGGTGCAATCTCGTTACCCGACTGACTTTCCCCCTCCCTAACGGTATTGCTTCGGTATACGAAACAAAGTTGCAGCCTCGCAACTTGAGAAATTTGCCTCAGTTTCTGTTTCGTTTACGGAAGTTTTTACAGATTTATGGGGGGTTGTTGTTGAGGGAGGTAAAGGAGAACGAACAGCTTCACTTGTTAAGGCGGGCATAAAAAAAATGCAAAGTCACAAGTCACGAGCAAGTCGATTAATGAGCAGCTATTCCTGCACTTTGAAAAAAAAATCAATGAAGGTTTAAAGAATTAAGCATCTTGTTGAATATTTAAATTTTTATAGATTATTATAGATACCATTGATTAATGTTACTAAATTATTTATATTTATTTTAAAAGGAAAAGGAAAATTATTTGTATCGAAATTATAAAAGGCATTTTGGTATTCAAAAAGTATTAAAAAAAATTGTTTTTTCCCCCACAAAAAAGTCCCACATCCGCCACTGGCTAAAACCCTTTACTTTTAAATAGTAAAACCATTTTTCTTTAAGTGTAGCGCCGAACTCTTTTCTCGGTATCACAAAAGTGCGGTATTTTTTTAGAGGGAGTGCAATTCCAACTCTGCCGACTGCTGTCAATACCAATGGCTCGCCGATCGTTTTGTTTTTATTTTAATTCACAGCCCCCCATATTCTTGTGCCCTTGGTTTTGATATTCATGATACAGCACACACTTGTGGGATTTGTCTGCCGCCGCCTGGCGATATTATTATTGTTCTGGGTTCTGAGTTCTAGAGCTTATGTTAATATATATCGGACTGATCGGAAGCACGTGTCAAATGCGGCGGGACTTTAGGAGGGGTAAACACAATATATCTTGGACCCTCGGAGAAAAAGTTCAAGGACTGAAAAGGAAAACAAAAGCAAAGTGGATACGCAGTTTTGGAGACAGTGAAAGTATATCTCCTCTTCTCTTTTCATTTCGTTTCCTTTTCTTTCACATGATGGATCACATATTTTATATCAAGTTCTTCTCACCCTCACTCACTCTCCTTTATTTTTCGCTTTCAATGCAAAGGACATACGACAAAAGTGGAAGTGCATTCAAAGTCTTATTTCTTCTTTTTCTTTTCCTTTGGCCAACATGACAAGGATCTTGCAGATCCGAGATTTAAGTCTCGATTTTCCTTCAGAAAGGAAAAATATATATTTTCTAGGGACACAAAGGAAAGGGATGGGCTAGGTAAGAGAGAGGGAAAGGGACAGAATAGGCACCCACAAAGAAAGAGAGAGGGAAATATTATTACGATCACTTGTGCGCAAAGGACTCGGGACTCGGGGACCCGGGGACTCGGGTTTTTCGTGGGCAGGTAGCCAGGATTCGATTCTTCAACCCCTGTTGCTCCTCTCTGCCGAAGTCGCTGCCTCTGCCGGCGCGCCTCAGCTACCTCTCTGCCCCTTTTTGGGTATTTAAGGCCCTAAACCAGGACGGTAGAATATCATTGCGGAATCTGATTCCACACAGTCAACATCTCCAACTATTAAAAACTATCTCTCGCAAGGATTACCATGACGAGCATCTGCAGCAGCAACTTCCAGCAGCAGCACTATCAGCTGACCAACGGCAACATCAGCAACATGTTGCTGCAGCACCAGAGCAACTTTAATCAGAATCACCAGATTCAGCAGCAGCAGCAACACCAGCTGATTGCCCCCAAAATGCCGCTGGGCACCAGCCAATTGCAGAATCAGCAGCAATCATCGAACATTGGACCGATTATGTCCTCCTCGCAGAAGCAGAAGAAGTTCAACTACAATAATATGCCCTATGGCGAGCAATTGCCTTCGGTGGCCAGGCGAAATGCCCGCGAACGCAATCGTGTCAAGCAGGTGAACAATGGGTTCGTCAATCTTCGCCAGCATTTGCCACAAACGGTGATCAATTCGCTGTCGAACGGAGGACGCGGTGCCAGCAAGAAGCTCTCCAAGGTGGACACCCTGCGCATTGCCGTCGAATATATCCGTGGACTGCAGGACATGCTGGACGATGGCACTGGAACTAGCACTCGTCACATTTACAACTCGGCCGATGAGAGCAGCAACGATGGCAGCAGCTCGTACAACGATTACAACGATAGTTTGGATAGCAGTCCGCAGGAGTTTCTCCTTAACCAACTGAAGAACTCTATGCCCGCTGCTCACTCCTATCACTCCGCCTCGCCAACGCCCTCGTCGTATTCCGGATCCGAAATCTCCGGCGGTGGCTATGTCAAGCAGGAGCTGCCCGAACAGGATCTGAAATTCGAGTCCTTCGACAGCTTCAGCGACGAGCAGCCCGACGATGAGGAGCTCCTCGACTACATTTCATCCTGGCAGGAGCAGTAAATGAGTGGATCTCAACGAATATGCCTAACCCTAAAAAAGAAAAACCAAAAAACTTGTACAAATTGTAAATAACTCAAATTGTTGCCTTAGTGAGATTCTAAAACCCCCCTCATTTTTTTTTGACACTAGTTTAAGACCCCATGGAAGACAATGATATAAAACATATATTTTTTTCATAGTTCTAAGTTTGTTATAAGCATGGAAGACACTAAACTAACTAGTTTTAAGGCTAAAATAAAAACAAACAAACAATATCAAAACAAAAATTCAAACACAATCTTTTTATTGAAATGCGAAGAGGAAAAAAGGAAAAGTTTCTACCGTTTCAGGTTCTTCAAAATGATGTGCTGAGGATCACTTTCTATTACAGGTTTTACAGCCCAACATAAAAGAAAATATATAAAAAAAACTTTAGAAATATTCTTTGACTTTAAAAATCAAAAAATGTTTTTTTCTTAACGTACAAGCAAAAGAAAATCCACAGTTTTTAAAAAAATAATAATAATAATGAAATATAAAAAAATGTTCCGATGTATTAAACTTAGGATCTTGAAAAATATGTCCTACGCTTGAAAAAGCAGAACCATTACTTTTAGAAACCCAATTACCCGTCCTTACCTATTGAGAAATAAGAAGAAAATATGGAATATGCAAACTACTTCTTGAGTTCCGCAGGCATATTATCTACAGATCTAAGGATTATTAATGGACATGCCATGCCAGCAGTACTTAAAACAAGTGCCTAGGCAATACGAATTGCATAATATATGGTTGTTCCCCCCACCAAATTGTCGAATCATCTAGTCTAGTAAGTTTGAGAGAGAGCCTGGATATGACTCACTATAAATTCAGCAGCAGAAAATACAAAACCATGACAACCTAACCCACAAGGAATTCAACACCCGACCGGAAACAACAGCGAATATTTTTAATTTTCGTGTTTCGTTTCCCTAACGAGTTTTCAAATTGCCCGGAAATAGGCAGTCACGCCTGAGAGGATGAAGTGGTCCTGGTCCTGCTTTTGCTTTTGCTCCTGGCAGTCCAAGGATCAGGACTCGTAGATCGATCCACGTGGCTGGCGCACCCCGCGCAATATAGCGCTTTTTATTTTTTTTTTTATTATTATCAAACTGGACGACGAGCCGTGAAATGCACTTCCGCTAACCCCTGAATATTATAGTAGAACTAGTAGTAAACCCACCCCGTAAAAACAAACTTTCGGGCGTGTGCCACAAGATGTTGAAATATGCAGGAATGTCACATCTACCACGCCCACATTATGCAAATTGCCAATTGCGCTGGACACGTGTGCAGACATCGCATTTAAATGTAGGGAAAAGGAAAGGCAGAAAGGGAAATTGAACGCCAAGGATCGAGAGCAATGATCCCCCGAGGAGGAGGATGTTTTATAAAGACAGGAAGCATATCGTCTTGCCCAAAATTCCAATATTTTTCCTCAAAAAAAAAAAAAAGAAATGGAATAAGAAATAAGGAAGAGGAAGGAGGCAAAGAATATACATACATACATATATAGGTAGTGGACGAGGACAATGCGAAATGTGATTGTATGTCAGCTTAAGATAAAACCAGGAAACGAAACGAAGACGAGGCCCATTGTTACCGGATATCAAAAGAAGCTTAGCGCTGAAAATCCCAAAGAGATCCGGGATTTCTAGATTCAGGACCTGTCCGGTTTTTGGCATAGGTGTCAAAATACCAGGCTAAGCCAATGTCCCTTAATAGGCTCGCTCCGGAATTTTATGCAATCTTAGCTCACTGTTTCAAAAAAAAAAAAAACGAGTAAAATAGAAAAAGAGATCCATTTTCGCTAGCTGATCCCTGGATCTAAAATCTCAAATGACAGAGATCACTGAACTGCTGCAATAAATTCATTTTCTCTATCTCTCTCTCTCAGGAAGTAACTTCTTTTAGTCCTTGTCGCAGGAAGTGCGTATTTGTTTTGCATCCTCGGCCAGACGACACAAAAGTCCTTCGGCCCGTCGGTCGTTTATTTATTTTTGTAGATGCGCCCCTTAGGAAATACGAGCCAAATGTTATTCTATCATGTCGCAATTCAATGGAAACGAAAACCCAAGGACACGCAGGACACTTGTAGTTCTACTTGTACTTGTACTTGTTCATGTTCTTATTCTTGTATAAATTGTAGTTTGAGTTATGTGACTTTATGACGGCGTCGCCGTCGCGATCGCTTCGCTGGCCAAGATTTATGACCCATGTGTCAAAATACGATCCTCAGAGTTCCCAGAGGTTTTCTTCTTTTTCTCTGGACCATCCATTGATCGAAACCGAGTTGCTCTTGTTAAATTTCGCACTTAACCAGGCGTCAAGTGGCAGTAGTTCGTTGCATCTACAATTCTGGACACTCACTTTCCTTCTTCCTGGTAGCTCGTTAATGAGGCGACACCGAGTGCTACCAGTCTATAGGATCCAGTATCCAATATCTATATACCGGCCATCCAATTGAGTTGACTTGTCCAAGCAATTCGAACCAAGTGTTTGGATACCAGGAAGGATCCTCTTTGGACTGCTGCCAAAACATTTAATGCTTAAACTAACAAGGAAACGAGTCAATTGAGGAAAACACGACATTATAATGGTTAAAAAATTTGTTTCCTTTCGGAAATTGGTTCCAAGAAGTTAAGATCAACATAAGTTATTAAGTTCCATCCTCTAATAATACCCTGAAAAAGGCATATCGATGATCTATTAAAAAATGTTACCCTTATATGATTTTTTTTTAATTTGTGATATTTTACAAATATCGAAAATAATTCATATTCACAAAGAATATCTTCTAATGTTCTCTATAGGGAAAGTTGCATAACGCTCCAATGATCTACTACTTGTTGCAACCCCATCTAAATTTTTGGACTCAAGAAAGAACAATCTAATCTCACCAATATCGAGTTTTCCTCATAACCGAACATCTCATTTGGCCCGTCAGCTCCGCATGCATTCCAGTGATTAGCTAACAGCATGATATGATACCCGTCGTGGATCACCAGAAATCTGCTATCTACCGACTTCCCTCGCAATCTTGTTCTTCTACCCCTACGCATTTATTTCATCTCACTTTTGGTCCAGTTTTGTTGTATCGATCACTACGCTACATTTAGCACTGTGTGAATTGACGGTAGTTAAATGACTTTACTGCGTTTGGGATCGATCTCTGGATTTCGGGACTTTGACTCGATTGTTGACATGATTTCCCATCGTGAAACTGAAGAATCTGAAGAAACTAACCGCAGAATCAACAATGGCGCATATGAGACAATGCTGCACACACGTGTCCGATTCGATTTTTCTTTTTTCTCTGCTTTTTTCTACGGGTCCAATAAACTATCAGAGGCAATCAATGTCAGAGCGTTTCTAGAGCAAAAGCAAAAGCAAAAGCCAGATTCAAAACTCTAGAGTTTAGAGTCTAGACAAAGCGATGCGCTATCGACGAGGATCCTCCATTGAAAAGACTTCGCTGGAATATCCTGTGGCCCATTGTCCTCGAATGAAAAGTGATTTCTTCTTTTATTCGGCTGCTGATTTCACGACATCATCGCCGAAAAAATGAAAAGGAGAAGTGCGCGTTTCACTTTACCAGAATACAAAAGCCAAACAAGAAAAAATGCTTCATTGATGCGTGAATTCTTTGGATCTCGGAGGCTCCATCAAAAGGTCAAGATGCGGGAGTCTCGAGATTCGAGATTCGGCACTCTCCACACTCCATTACACGCAAATCCCAAATGCCAGCAGCTTTATGGCTTTCCTCCTCCGCAGGACATTAGCATTGGGTATACGAAAACAAGCGTGTCCGATGCGAAGGTGTCGCTAGGAATTGCCCACCACTGGGCGTGGAAAATCCTCTACCTGTATTTGTATTTTGGGAAACTTTCGGGGTTTTCACTCCTGCTTCGCGTGGAAATTTGCGAAACGAACAAGTGAAAACTGCGTGAAAAACCGTAGACGATCGAACACGTGTTTGTTGTTTTGTCCAGAAAGGGCGCGACAAATGTCACGGACTAACGATCTCCGGCAGCGAAAACACAGCCAGATATCAGAGGATATCTTATAGAGATTTTAGAAGGAAGAACAGGAGGAGGAAAGTATGAGTTAAGTCGGATTTATGGACTTGGACTTAATGGACATAAACATCAATGATGAATTGAGACGAGGTCAACGTATCTGTATTCGTTTCCTTGCTGAAAGTAAAACTTATTCAAAACATAAGAAAAAATAATGTATTTATCAAATTATACGTACACATTCATATAATTTTGATATAAATAAAGATTGTTATTATCTTATTTTACAATATTTGTTCAAAAAATACTAAATGAAGTATTTTAAAACAGTATATTATTTTCAAGCTGATATGATATCATTCATATTGATATGAAATAAGGTAGAAATTACCCTATACAAGTATTTTGAAACATATATTCAATTTTGTTTAATAGATTCTCTGAAGATTTCGCCATAGTCCTTTGTATTATCATCTTGACCCTTGGAACCCTGGGAACCGTACTACCAATGAGTAAAAAAGAACCGACTAAGTCCGAGATTTACTTAAAAAAAAAACATCAAATCGGATCGGGAAAATCAGATCAGTGCCTAAAAATCATTGCAGAACAAAGGCAGCGAAACCACAAAGACACAAAAAATAACCCGAGCGCGGGGTCAAAATCGAGGTTGAGGTTAAAAACTGAGGTTGCGGATGGCTGGTGTCACTGCTTCAATATATATATCTTCAAAGCAAAGTCACCGCCGCAAAACGAAAAAGAAGTTGAAAAAATGTCAACCACAAGACTGCGGCGATCGATGACGATCTACAATCGAGATTCCCTTTAGTTTTCATTCAGAGCACACAGGATAATGATCGAGATGATGACGTTGGCCATTCTCCTTCGACGACCCCACCGCCGACCTTTGATCTGCCCCGATTTTCGTCTATTTTTCTTTGTTTTTGCGACTGCCTCCTACGATGCGATAATCGATTTATCAAAAAACAGCAAGGCAAAAACCAAAGATCTATGCGCAATGCGCTTTGCCAAAAGTATTGTAGCAAAGTATTGTGGAAACTCCAAAAGCAAACCGCCGCCCAAGACAGCAAATTTGTAATGCACATTGAGGTGCATTAAGACGTGAAATTGTCACCATTGTTTA